CAGAAATGCTTTCTTTCTCATAAACTGGAAATAACACAAGGTGGAACCCAGAGAGCCCACAAAGCACAAACCTGTTTCTAGAATTTATAGGCCCAAACAGCCCCACTCAGCGGGATATGTGCTGTTCTGTGAATTTATGCAACAGCCTCATAATTTCCCTGGGCTCTCTCTCAGTCTGCAAAATACAGACTACAGCAAGGGGCCTACAGTGTTACAACACACGTGCAGAAACATGTCTATCCTTGTCAACTTTGAAAGGAAATCTAACCTACTCCAAAATCACAGGCAGAGATTGACATATTTCAGCCACAGCTTCTCTGGGCAGGTCAATAAGGTCTAGAAATGGAAGTGCAGTTTATTTTTGTAGGCACTACTGCAACCTGTATCTCTTTAATCTACATTTGGTAAATTAGCACAACACTAGAGGTGTATGAGTCATGGTAGCAAAAATCCAACTTTTTGTATAGAGTCGCCACACATTCCCATTTCACCACTTAGAAAGTCAATAACAAGAAAGAAAAAAATTATCTAAATAAGAAGAGAACAGTGGCATCACACCTGCCTCAGAAGTGCAAGCTTCCTAGTTCAATCCCTGGTACAAAAAAAGGGAGAACTTTCCAATAGTTTGTCAGCTTCCTTCATCTCTTTGGCCTCATGGCCCTGCCTATACTTCCATAGCTCTAAAAAATAGTATGTATAGCACACCTTCCTAACAAAGACCAATACATTTTTACCTGTATTACTTCATTCAACAAGTAATATAGCCACATTAGACAGTAAAGGAAATGACTCACTCAAGGTCTCTTAGCAGAGAATTATTCAACAGTTCACAACAGAGTATAAACTGTCCATGTATAAAGTGGGGAGAGATTTGCTCACACCTCTAGATGAGGCAGGATTACTGTTCCTAAACTTTTAAAATCAAGTTCTGCTACCTTTCAAAATGGACTAACCCTCACGCTCTTCCAATCAGTACCTTTTGTAATGAGGCTAGTGATGAGGGACTCAATATAAACTCAAATTTCTAACTCAAGAGTTAATAAATATGTGATTTATAATGCAGAGTTTGCATTCTGAAGTAGAGCCTGATAATTTATGAATATTTCCAAAATAAATTACTAGTCTTCTACATCATTCATAATAAAGCTGATATGACCAAAGTGAAAAGTTTGAAAAACAGGTCCACAAGGTAGGTATAGTACTGAGCCAATATAAGGCTCTGAAAGTCATGGGGTGGCTAAGTTATTCTCTCATCGTAATTGCAAATTCAGTTGTCACAAACATGCAATCCCAGATCTCTCCAGACAGAGGTAGGAAGATCACAAGTTCAAAGGTGAGCCTGGGCAATTTAGCAAGACCCTGTCTCAAAAAAATAAGAGCTGGAAATATAGTTCAGTGGCAGAGCACTTGTCTAGCATGCACAAGACCCTGGCTTCCATCTTCAGTACTGAAAAAGAAAGGAGCTCATAATCTGAATCCTATGCAGGTCAGGAGGAGACATACTTTTGTGGACCCAGACCTCAAGTAAGAAAAGTCACAGGGGTGAGTAATTTTGAAGATTTAATTATTCTCCAGGTTTTTTGTTTGTTCCTTCATTTTGTTTGTTTGTTTGTTGTACCGGGGACTGAACCCAGGGCCTCAGGCATGTAAGTCACATGCTCTACTTTTAAGCTATATCCCCCACTCTCAACTGTAACTAGCTTTATTTCCTACCAATCCAAAGTGCAAAATATAGTAGGTACAGAACAAGAGTAAAACACTTGCCCAGCATTTGAGAGACTCTATGGCCAGCACTGAGAAAAATAAAAAGAAACTTCTCAAAAGAAAAATATTAAGAAAGAGGGATAAATATTAAGAAATGGAGATGACCAAGAAGTCTATTTACTCTTTTAATACAGTACACTCTGGAATATCACATGAAAGTAATCCTGTTAACCATTAAGTACCAAACTAGTACAGGCAGCACAATTACAAATATTTGAGTTGAAGCTAACTCATAAAAATCTAAAATATTTCAGGCTGTAGGCTTTTAAGATAACCATCAAATTAACCCCTTTCTCTACTTCAATCATGTTATTTTGAAAACAATATTAAAAATATTTTTACCTACTTTTGGAAAGCGTGATTTCAGTGAATAAAGAAAGCATAAGCAACTGGATTTTAGGGTATTATCATTCCTGCATTTGATCCTGGATTTACTCTGTCAGTGGTTAAGCTCCTGTCCTAACCTAGTGTACTAAAATAAATATATACTGTATATGTTTATGAAAAGAGTTGTCTAAGTCTTAACTGCTATCCATTTCAAGGAATATCAAAATCCTTAAATGAAAAGTTGTTTTAAAATTTATCATAACTACAAAACTTTTTTAAATTTTCTAAGAGTCTTTGCTTAAACCTCAGTGTATAATGTCTTTAAGTAATTAAAATCTCTTTTCAGACGAGAGACAAGTACTATCACATAAAATCAAACTTTTTTTTTTGGTGGTCCTGGGGATTGAGCTCAGGGCCGCATCCATGCTAAACTAAGCATATGCTCTAACACTGAGCTGCACCCCACCCCTAAAATCAAAACTTTTTTGGGGGGGAGGTTTTGAGACAGGGTCTTACTATGTGGTTGAGACTGACCTGGAACTCACTATGTAGCTAGTCCAGGCTGGTCTCGAACTCAGAGCGGTCCTCCTGCCTCAGCCTCCCAAATGCTGGGATTACAGGCATGTGCCACCACACCTGGCTTAAAATCAAAACTTTTTAAATCACCAGTACAGAAAGCTGGTAAATTTCGGTCAGAGACTTTTAATCCTACATTCATAGGCACTGACTTGTGTTATACTGTATTTCTTCGAATTTGTTTGAAATACATTTTATTCTTTTTAATGAATGAAAATGGAAGCACAGAACAGCCTGTTTCAGAGATACCAGGTTACAAGTTTTAAACCAGAAATACTCCCTGTTTTAAGAACATGTATTGTACATCTTTAAGAATATGTGATATACACCATTCCAATTAAGATATATTTCAAAATAATCCCTACAAAAATTGCAGAATATTCCCAGTGATGAATGTAACTGTACTGCATACCTAAAAACATATCAATAAACTCAATGAGAAAAAAAATTGCAGCATATCAAATTCTTGACCATAGTTTGACAAATGCTGAAAAGAAAATTAATAAATGAAAACAACCACACAAACACTCATACGCAAACAAAAATCAGAAAATACACCAGACCACTCCCAACCATTTTCAAAAACACTACAGAAGTCCAGTTCTGTGAATTATACGGACAGCAAATACTAAGCTACCTCAGTATTTATGCCTCTCAACTCCCCAGACACCATCATCCACAGAAACCATGCAGCTATCCAACAGACTTTCAGTGTCACCATTTATTATTTATAGTGTTAAATGGGGGAAGTTGCTCTGATGTCACCAACCCTACCCAGTGGAATCACTGACTCAATAAACATTTTCACACTGGAGAAAATCTGGCTAGGAAAACATTCCACTGGGTTAAGTAAATTCTTTCACCTTTCCTTTCAACTCCGGAGTAAAGTAGTTACTGTGTTAGCGGAGATACAAAGAAACTGTCAAGGTTTCCACAGGAAGAAAACTGTGAATGTCCATTTGCTGAGGCAAAGACTTCCTCCCAACTCTCCAGAGCCCAGTCTGATTTCCCCCATGTTCAAATTTGCAGGTAATACCTATCATATTTATTTCTGCCACCAAATTATCCACCAATTAGCATATTTTTCACTTCTACTAGCCACTCTCAGTCTCAGTCCTGTTTCTAAAAATTCCTCCTGCCTGCAAGTCGTTAAGGAGGAAAGGTATCAGAGGCGTCCGTGTACCAGGGGTGCTAGCCTGGCTGCCAATGGTTTCTACAGAAAACAGATGGGGGGCGGGAGGGCCGGTCCTTCATTTTTCTTTTTTTTTTTTAAGAAAGAACTGGTGGCAGTGATGAGGACGACTTTCTCCTTTGCCCCCATTTCTCACAGCAGATCTGGAAAACGTAAAGTTATGGTTTCCCTTTCCTGGGGGATGGAATCCAGAATACCTGGGGCTTTGCTATGCAAACATCCCTCACCGCCGGGTAGGAACCCCTTTGTCCAAGAAGCCTAACACCACAGGGCCCGGGCTAGAGACTCATCCGTCAAAGCTTCGAAACCGAGAGTTTCCCTAAATCGGAGCCCTGTAGGGCCTATCTCAGTATCCACACAGCCTTAGGTTGGGGAGAAGGTGCTGAGACCCCTCCTAGGAAGCAGAGGCCCAGGCAGCCCTAGCGATCTCCTCCGTATGCCCTCCCACCTCCATCTATCTCACTTGGCCTGAGTGGGGCTGGGAAGCGCGCTGCGGGCCTGCGCCGGAGAAATACTAGAGGTGCGGGGCGCTCCTAAAAGGAGGATGAGATGCTAGAGTAAGGGTGACCTAAAGCTGCTGCACAACCGAGCGAGGGTCGTCCGAGGAAAGGGCCCGGAGATGGGGAGGGGAGGGGGCGATCCGAGGGGCATGGAGGGGGCCAGGCTGGGGCCGGCCTGAGATCTCGAGAGATCAGGAGGAACCGCGCAGGGCCCAAGGCCAAGGAAGGCGGGGGGCGCGAGTCTGGGCCGAGGCGACCAGGAA